CTCAGCACTGCCCATAGACTCAACACTGCCCATAGACTCAACACTGCCCATAGACTCAACACTGCACCATAGACTCAGCACTGCCCGTAGACTCAACACTGCACCATAGACTCAACACTGCCCATAGACTCAAAATTGCAGCATAGACTCAACACCGCCCATAGACTCAACAATGCACCATAGACTCAACACTGCACCATAGACTCAACACTGCACCATAGACCCAGCAATGCTGTCTCTAATTTCAAGCTAACTGTTTAGTATAACCATAATATTATTGTTATTATGTTCAATTGTCTTCATCCATATCGGGCCGCAGTTGCCGTATCGGCTGGGCAGGGGTGGCTCGCTCTCCTCTCCCTACTCCTCTCCTGTCCTCTCTCTTCCTCCCTCTCACACCCACACCCCCCTCTCTATCTCCCTCTCAGCTTGCCCACACGCGCACACTCCCCGTATTTCATCTCAACCCAATTGAGGATCACTCAATTGGGTTGTCTGCCAACAATGATCTGTGCATAGGATTCGCCGACTCTCATCTCACTCCACTCCCCTCCACGCTCTCTCCTGCCTCTCCCCTCTCATCTCACTCCACTCCCCTCCACGCTCTCTCCTGCCTCTCCCCTCTCATCTCACTCCTCTCCCCTCTCATCTCATTCTACTCCCCTTCACGCACTCTCCTACCTCTCTCCTCTCATCTCACTCCACTCCCCCACACACTCAGGATCACACACACTCAGGACCACACGCACTCTGGACCACAAACACACTCAGGACCACACATACTCAGGACCACACACACACTTAGGATCATACACACTCAGGATCACACACACACGCAGGATCACACACACTCAGGATCACACACACACGCAGGATCACACACACTCAGGATCACACACATTCAGGACCACAAACACACTCAGGATCACACACACACGCAGGATCACACACATTCAGGATCACACACACACTGAGGATCACACACACTCAGGACCACACACACTCAGGATCACACACACTCAGGACTACACACACTCTGGACCACACACACTCAGGACCACACACACTGAGGATCACACACACACTGAGGATCACACACACTCAGGACCGCACACACTCAGGACCACACACACTCAGGACAACACACACTCAGGATCACACACACTCAGGATCACACACACAGGATCACACACACTCAGGATCACACACACACAGGACCACACACACACACTCAGGACCACACACACTCAGAACTACACACACTCAGGATCACACACACAGGATCACACACACACACTCAGGATCACACACACACAGGATCACACACATTCAGGACCACAAACACACTCAGGACCACACACACTCAGGACCACACACACTCAGGACCACACACACTCAGAACCATACACACACTCAGGACCACACACACTCAGGACCACACACACTCAGGACCACACACACACAGGATCACACACACTCAGGACCACACACACTCAGGACAACACACACTCAGGATCACACACACTCAGGATCACACACACACAGGATCACACACACTCAGGATCACACACACAGGACCACACACACACACTCAGGACCACACACACTCAGAACCACACACACTCAGGATCACACACACACAGGATCACACACACACACTCAGGATCACACACACAGGATCACACACATTCAGGACCACAAACACACTCAGGACCACACACACTCAGGACCACACACACTCAGGACCACACACACTCAGAACCATACACACACTCAGAACCATACACACACTCAGGATCACACACCCTGAGGACCACACACACTCAGGACCACACACACACAGGATCACACACACTCAGGATGACACACTCAGGACCACACACACTCAGGACCACACACACTCAGGACCACACACACTCAGGATCACACACACTCAGGACCACACACACACTCAGAATCACACACACTCAGGACCACACACACTCAGGACCACACACACTCAGGACCACACACATTCAGGATCACACACACTCAGGACCACACACACTCAGGATCACACACACTCAGGATCACACACACTCAGAATCACACACACTCAGGACCACACACACACTCAGGATCACACACACACTCAGGACCACACACACTCAGGACCACACACACTCAGGATCACACACACTCAGGACCACACACACTGAGGATCACACACACACACACTCAGGATCACACACACACTCTGGACCACACACACTCAGGATCACACACACACTCAGGATCACACACACACACACACTCAGGACAACACACACACTCTGGATCACACACACACTGAGGATCACACACACACACACTCAGGACAACACACACACTCTGGATCACACACACACTGAGGATCACACACACACACTCAGGAGAACACACACACTCTGAATCACACACACTCAGGACCACACACACACTTAGAACCACACACACACTCAGGTCCACACACACACTGAGGATCACACACACACACTCAGGATCACACACACACACACTCAGGATCACACACACACACGCAGGACCACACACACACTGAGGATCACACACACACTCAGGATCACACACACTCAGGACCACACACACACTCAGGACCACACACACTCAAGACCACACAGACTCAGGATCACACACACTCAGGACCACACACACACACAGGACCACACACACTCAGGACCACACACACTCAGGATCACACACACACTCAGGACCACACACACACACAGGACCACACACACACAGGACCACACACACTCAGGATCACACACACTCAGGATCACACACACTCAGGACCACACACACTCAGGATCACACACACTCAGGACCACACACACACTGAGGATCACACACACTCAGGATCACACACACTCAGGACCACACACACACTGAGGATCACACTCAGGACCACACACACACTCAGGACCACACACACACTGAGGATCACACACACTCAGGACCACACACACTCAGGACCACACAGGCACACGCTAGACGCAGGCGCGCGATTACAACGCTCAACGTTGTAATTGCTTTCGGCAAAAACACGAGTAAATATATATTTCGCCAAAAAACAAAATAAAATTTCGGATCAATGTTTCCCATTTCTGACCCCGTCACCCTGGATCAGCGAATATAATATATTCGCCCGGGGCAATATTTTTAAAAGCGCGTTGTGTTGCTTATATAAGTACATAATTCGTAATAATGTATGTTGATTACCATATGAATCATCGGACCGGCAATGGATTAACCATTGTAATTTAAAATTTGACTTAAAGCTTTCGTGACTGCAGGAATTCACATTCTTGGTTCTTTCGGTTAACGTCACGTTGAAGGGAAACAATAAAATAATAAAATATATTTTAAATAGATAAAATAATAAAATATATTTCATTATTTTATTGTTTCCCTTCAACGTGACTTTACCGAAAGAACCAATAATATGAATCACTGCAGTCACGAAAGCTTTAAATCAAAATTTTATTACTTTTGTCTTTGTTATTTTCAATTTATTAATTTTTATTTTATTTGTATTATTTTTCTTTTATTTGCTTAATTTTTATTTTTTTGTTTTCTATTTACGTTACTTTACCGAAAGAACCAAGAATATTGTAATTTATACGGGTTCATATTCTTAGCTCTTTCGGTAAAGTCACGTTGAAGGGAAACAATAAAATAATAAAATATATATAAAACAATAAAAATTCTCACGACCTTTCGACCATAACACAGATATTCTATTATTTTATATTTTATTATTTTATTGTTTCCCTTCAACGTGACTTTACCGAAAGAACCAATAATATGAATCACTGCATTCACGAAAGCTTTAAATCAAAATGTATTATTTTTGTCTTTGTTATTTTCAATTTATTAATTTTTATTTTATTTGTATTTTTTCTTTTATTTGCTTTATTTTTTTTTGTTTATTTACGTTAATTTACCGAAAGAACCAAGAATATTGTACTTTATACGGGTTCATTAATCTCGGCCCCGCCCCGCACCCCCACCTTGTCACGTGACGGGGCACGCGAGTGACGTCATCGCATCTATCCCCCTCGACTTTGTGAACGAAACGGGAGAGGACTTCCCCAACGAATCTGTCGTGATTGTAAATGTTGTCGATTTGCTCTCCAACAGGCAACCGCTGTTGCTCATTCTTTGGGTCTTTCGGTAAAGTCACGTAGACAGGTTCGCAGAAAATAACAAGAAAAACTACCACGTTTCGATCGAAACACACAAATCGTCGTAGTATATTGTTTTTTTTTAGTTATTTTTTTTCGAACTTATCTACGTGACTTTACCGAAAGATGAGAGAGAGAGACACACACTAACTACAAATATACAGCAGCAGCAGCAGGCGTCAGGGTCTGGATCGAACCCACGACCTCCTGCACACCAGGCGAGGTAGTTAACATCTCCTAGCCACCGTGATGATGATGATGAGAGAGAGAGACACGCAAACTCCAAATATACAGCAGCAGGCGTCAGGGTCGGGATAGAACCCACGGCCTCCTGTACGTCAAGCGAAGTAGTTTACATCTGAGCAACACACAAAAGACGTCTTATAGCGGCATCTAGCGGTCAGTCCGGCGTACTGCGCGTGGCATCAATAAAATTACAAACAAGCCGACAAGCCAGAGCACTTAGTGAGCCTCATTTGTGTTTTTATTGAGAAGATGATGATGATCAGACCGTGACAAGGGCTGTCTCTTCCTCCCTGCTGCCAGATCCTGCAGGCTGTTGCAGAGATGGTATTGACAACCCCATCTTGCAGTCTCATCATCACAATCATCACAATCATCATCACAATCATCCGCATGAGCGTCAGCAGCATCACCATCATCATCACAATCATCATCACGATCATCATCACCATCAGCAGCATCATCATTATCATCATCACCATAATTATCGTCATCACAATCATCATCTTCATTATCATCGTCATTATCATCATCATCACCATCATTATAATCATCATTATCATCACCATCAGCAGTATCATCAATATTATCATCATCACAATCATCACCATCATTACCACCATCAACACAATCATCGCAATCATCATTATCATTACATGTATATAAGCCGATAGTAGTAATCTAGTATCAATCAGCTAGTGACAGTAAGCCAGTAGCAGTAAGCCTTTGGTGGTAAGCGGTGGTAAGCTAGCGGTGGTAGTAAGCTAGTGGTGGTAGTAAGCTAGTGGTGGTAGTAAGCTAGTGGTGGTAGTAAGCTAGCGGTGGTAGTAAGCTATTGGTGGTAGTAAGCTAGTGGTGGTAGTAAGCTATTGGTGGTAGTAAGCTACCGGTGATAGTAAGCTAGCGGTGGTAGTAAGCTAGTGGAGGTAGTAAGCTATTGGTGGTAGTAAGCTAGTGGTGATAGTAAGCTAGTGGTGATAGTAAGCTAGTGGTGGTAGTAAGCTATTGGTGGTAGTAAGCTATTGGTGGTAGTAAGCTAGTGGTGATAATAAGCTAGTGGTGGTGGTAAGCTATCGGTGGTAGTAAGCTAATGGTGGTAGTAAGCTAGCGGTGGTGGTAAGCTAATGGTGGTAGTAAGCTAATGGTGGTAGTAAGCTAGTGGTGGTAGTAAGCTAGTGGTGGTGGTAAGCTAATGGTGGTAGTAAGCTAGTGGTGGTAGTAAGCTATCAGTGGTAGTAAGCTAGCGGTGGTAGTAAGCTAATGGTGGTAGTAAGCTAATGGTGGTAGTAAGCTATCAGTGGTAGTAAGCTAGTGGTGGTAGTAAGCTAGCGGTGATAGTAAGCTAATGGTGGTAGTAAGCTAGTGGTGGTAGTAAGCTATCAGTGGTAGTAAGCTAGTGGTGGTAGTAAGCTAGCGGTGATAGTAAGCTAATGGTGGTAGTAAGCTAGCGGGTCTGCTGCCAAGGGGAGTGAGGCAGGGCCTCGTGGCACCGGTTTCACGATCCTGCTGATGTCTCTCCCCTCCCTGCCCTCTCCCTCCCCAAATCGTCGGGGGCACTGTGACCCTGAGGTCGACGAGGTCAGCTGGCCTCCCACGAGCAACGCGCCAAGCGGGCGGGTCGCGGGAGTCATCCGTGACGCCCCCGCGCGACACGCGGAAACACAGACAGACACACGGACACACAGACGGACACACAGACAGACACACGGACAGACGGACACACAGACAGACAGACAGACGGACGGACAGACAGACGTACAGAAGGACGGACAAGGCGGAGGGGGTCGCGACCCTCCCTAGCAGCGTGTCGCGGGGATCGCCAGCGCCTTGTCCTCCAGCAGCGTCGCAGCGCCCGTGCAGAAAAATTCCCTGCGAGGGCAAAGACAAAGGTGCCCCGTGTAGTCCACGCAGGCCGCCGCAGGGGCAAGTGCCGGAGAGCCACAGACTCACACAGAGAGCCACAGACTCACACAGAGAGTCACAGACTCACACACAGAACCACAGACTCACACAGAGAGCCACAGACTCACACAGAGAGTCACAGACTCACACACAGAACCACAGACTCACACAGAGAGCCACAGACTCACACAGAGAGTCACAGACTCACACAGAGAGTCACAGACTCACACACAGAGAGCCACAGACTCACGCAGAGAGCCACAGACTCACACACAGAGTCACAGACTCACGCACAGAGAGCCACAGACTCACACAGAGCCACAGACTCACGCACAGAGAGCCACAGACTCACGCAGAGAGCCACAGACTCACACACAGAGTCACAGACTCACACAGAGAGCCACAGACTCACACAGAGCCACAGACTCACGCAGAGAGCCACAGACTCACAGAGACAGAGCCACAGACTCACACGCACAGAACCACAGACTCACACAGAGAGCCACAGACTCACACAGAGAGTCACAGACTCACGTACAGAGCCACAGACTCACGCACAGAGCCACAGACTCACACAGAGAGCCACAGACTCACACAGAGAGCCACAGACTCACACTCACACAGAGAGCCACAGACTCACACAGAGAGCCACAGAATCATCTCCTAGCAACCGTGATGATGATGATGAGAGGGACACAAACTTCAAATATACAGCAGGCGTCAGGGTCAGGATCGCTCACTCTCCCTCTCATTCACTCTCTCATTCACTCCCTCTCTCACTTACCCCCTCTCTCACACACTCACCCCCTCACTCTCTCACCCCCCCCCCCCACTCTCCCACTCACTCTCTCACTCACTCTCTCACTCTCTCACTCTCTCACTCACTCTCTCACTCACTCACTCTCTCACTCTCTCACTCACTCTCTCACTCACTCACTCTCTCACTCTCTCACTCACTCTCTCACTCACTCACTCTCTCACTCTCTCACTCACTCTCTCACTCACTCACTCTCTCACTCACTCTCTCACTCACTCTCTCACTCACCCACTCACCCACTCACTCACTCTCTCACTCTCTCACTCACCCACGCTCTCACCCACTCTCTCACTCACTCTCTCACCCCCTCACTCTCTCACTCACACACTCACTCACCCACTCACTCACTCTCTCACTCTCTCACTCACCCACGCTCTCACCCACTCTCTCACTCACTCTCTCACCCCCTCACTCTCTCACACACTCACTCTCTCACTCACCCCCCCCACTCTCTCACTCTCTCACTCACTCACTCACTCTCTCACTCAGTCTCTCACTCACTCACTCTCTCACTTACCCACTCACCCACTCACCCCCTCACTCTCTCGCTCACCATCTCACCCTTCCCCCCCTCCCGCTCACCGGGCACCGCGGCGAGGGATGACCGACAGCTGCAGTCTACGCACGGCCAGGCTGGCGCCTCGCCGGTAGCGGTGCCGCACGCCGGCCCGGCCAAAGGTGGCGAGGACCGCGCCGACGTCACCAGGATCCGAGTCCACCGCCACCACGCGGAGCACCGAGTCGCCACGGCCGAACCACAGCGGGGAGCTGGGGGGAGGGGGCAGGGGCCGGGGAAGAGTAGGCCAAATACGCTCTCTGCAGCTCGCTCCGAGTGGGGCTGCCCTCGCCTGGTGTACAGGAGGTTCGTGGGTTCCATCCCGACCCTGACGATGCCTGCAGCTGCTGCTGTATATTTGGAGTTTGTGTATCTCTCATCATCATCATCAGGGTGGCTAGGAGATGTTAACTACCTCGCCTGGTGTACAGGAGGTCGTGGGTTCGATCCCGACGCCTGCTGCTGCTGTATATTTGGAGTTTGCGTGTCTCTCTGATCATCATCATCCTCACGGTGGCTATGAGATGTTAACTATCTCGCCTGGTGTGCAGGAGGTCGTGGGTTCCATCCCGACCCTGACGATGCCCGTGCTGTATATTTGGAGTTTGCGTGTCTCTCTCATCATCATCATCATCCTCACGGTGGCTAGGAGATGTTGACTACCTCGCCTGGTCTACAGGAAGTCGTGGGTTCCATCCCAACCCTGACGCCTGCTGCTGTATATTTGGAGTTTGTGTCTCTCATCATCATCATCATCACGGTGGCTATGAGATGTTAACTATCTCGCCTGGTGTACAGGAGGTTCGTGGGTTCCATCCAGACCCTGACGATGCCTGCTGCTGCTGCTGTATATTTGGAGTTTGCGTGTCTCTCTCTCTCTCATCATCATCATCATGGTGGCTATGAGATGTTAATTACCTCGCCTGGTGTACAGGAGGTTCGTGGGTTCCATCCCGACTCTGAGGAAGCCTGCTGCTGCTGTATATTTGGAGTCTGCGTGTCTCTCTCTCTCTCTCATCATCGTCATCACGGTGGCTAGGAGATGTTAACTACCTCGCCTGGTATGCAGGAGGTCGTGGGTTCGATCCCGACCCTGACGATGCCTGCTGCTGCTGCTGTATATTTGTAGTCTGTGTGTGTCTCTCTCTCTCTCCCCGTGGTCGCGTGGATTTTTCTCGGGGCCCTACGGCTTTTTCCCCTCCACATTGAGAATCATCATCAGCATCACCACCACGCATTCAGAGGATCTGTCGACTGCTATGAATGTCCACGTGATGATGACGACTTGGTTGAGCTATCGTTAGGGATGGCCAGCTCGCTTCTGGAATAGAGTTACATAAGTCAGTGGGGCCTTGCCTGGTAACATTAACAAAAAACACAATAGTTTAGTTTTAGTTTGAATAGTTCAGACAATCAAAAACACAAAGATCCCTGCTCTAACTGTTGGGGCAAGTGCTGATCGCACTGCTGTTAGCACTTGGCTATACCGGGAGTGTCGGTGTCTTTGTATGTGAATGTGTGAGTGAGTGTGTGTGGGTGAGTGTGTGGGTGAGTGTGTGAGTGAGTGTGTGTGGGTGAGTGTGTGTGTGTGGGTGAGTGTGTGGGTAAGTGTGTGTGGGTGAGTGTGTGGGTGAGTGTGTGGGTGAGTGTGTGTGTGTGGGTGAGTGTGAGGGTGAGTGGGTGAGTGAGTGGGTGAGTGTGTGAGTGAGTGGGTGAGTGTGTGAGTGAGTGGGTGATTGAGTGGGTGAGTTAGTGGGTGGGTGAGTGGGTGAGTGAGTGAGTGGGTGAGTGAGTTAATAAGTGAGTGAGTGCGTGGGTGAGTGAGTGGGTGAGTGGGTTAAAGATTGGGTGAGTGAGTGAGTGGGTGAGTGAGTGGGTGGGTGGGTGAGTGAGTGGGTGAGTGAGTGAGTGGGTGAGTGAGTGAGTGGGTGAGTGAGCGAGTGGGTGAGTGAGTGGCTGAGTGAGTGAGTGGGTGAGTGAGTGAGTGAGTGGGTGAGTGAGTGAGTGGGTGAGTGAGTGAGTGGGTGGGTGAGTGAGTGGGTGAGTGAGTGAGTGAGTGGGTGAGTGAGTGGGTGAGTGAGTGAGTGGGTGAGTAGGTGAGTAGGTGAGTGAGTGGGTGAGTGGGTGAGTGAGTGGGTGAGTGAGTGGGTGAGTGGGTGAGTGGGTGGGTGAGTGCGTGAGTTGGTGAGTGAGTGAGTTGGTGAGTGAGTGAGTGAGTGAATGAGTGAGTGAGTGGTTGAGTGGGTTAAAGAGTGGGTGAGTGAGTGAGTGAGTGGGTTAAAGAGTGGGTGAGTGAGTGAGTGAGTTAAAGAGTGGGTGATTGAGTGGGTGAGTGAGTTAAAGAGTGGGTGAGTGAGTGGGTGAGTGAGTGAGTGGGTGAGTGAGTGGGTGAGTGATTGGGTTAAAGAGTGGGTGAGTGAGTGCATGAGTGAGTGAGAGAGTGAGTGGATGAGTGGGTGAGTGAGTGGGTGAGTGAGTGAGTGAGTTGGTGAGTGAGTGAGTGAGTGGGTGAGTGAGTGAGTGAGTGGGTGAGTGAGTGAGTGAGTGGGTGAGTGAGTGGGTGAGTGAGTGAGTGAGTGGGTGAGTGGGTGAGTGAGTGAGTGAGTGGGTGAGTGAGTGAGTGAGTGAATGGGTGAGTGGGTTAAAGAGTAGGTGAGTGAGTGAGTGGGTGAGTGAGTGGGTGAGTGGGTGAGTGAGTGGGTGAGTGAGTAGGTGAGTGAGTGAGTGGGTGAGTGAGTGAGTGAGTGGGTGAGTGGGTTAAAGAGTGGGTGAGTGAGTGAGTGAGTGGGTGAGTGGGTGAGTGGGTGAGTGAGTGGGTGAGTGGGTGAGTGAGTGGGTGAATGAGTGAGTGGGTGAGTGAGTGGGTGAGGGAGTGAGTGGGTTAAAGAGTGGGTGAGTGAGTGAGTGGGTGAGTAAGTGGGGGAGTGAGTGGGTGAGTGAGTGAGTGAGTGGGTGAGTGAGTGGGTGAGTGAGTGAGTGAGTGGGTGAGTGAGTGAGTGGGTGAGTGAGTGAGTGAGTGGGTGAGTGAGTGAGTGGGTGAGTGAGTGAGTGAGTGAATGGGTGAGTGGGTTAAAGAGTAGGTGAGTGAGTGAGTGGGTGAGTGAGTGGGTGAGTGGGTGAGTGAGTGAGTGAGTAGGTGAGTGAGTGGGTGAGTGAGTGAGTGGGTGAGTGGGTTAAAGAGTGGGTGAGTGAGTGAGTGAGTGGGTGAGTGAGTGGGTGAGTGGGTGAGTGAGTGGGTGAGTGGGTGAGTGAGTGGGTGAATGAGTGAGTGGGTGAGTGAGTGGGTGAGGGAGTGAGTGGGTTAAAGAGTGGGTGAGTGAGTGAGTGGGTGAGTGAGTGGGGGAGTGAGTGGGGGAGTGAGTGGGTGAGTGAGTGAGTGAGTGGGTGAGTGAGTGGGTTAAAGAGTGGGTGAGTGAGTGAGTGGTGAGTGATTGAGTGAGTGGGTGAGTGAGTGAGTGAGTGGGTGAGTGAGTGGGTGAGTGAGTGGGTGAGTGAGTGGGTGAGTGAGTGAGTGGGTGAGTAAGTGAGTGAGTGGGTGAGTGAGTGAGTGGGTGAGTGAGTGAGTGGGTGAGTGAGTGGGTTAAAGAGTGGGTGAGTGAGTGAGTGGGTGAGTGAGTGAGTGGGTGAGTGAGTGGGTGAGTGAGTGAGTGAGTGGGTAAGTGAGTGGGTGAGTGAGTGAGTGAGTGGGTGAGTGAGTGGGTGAGTGGGTGAGTGAGTGATTGAGTGAATGCGTGGGTGAGTGAGTGGGTGAGTGAGTGGGTGAGTGGGTGAGGGAGTGAGTGAGTGGGTGAGTGGGTGAGTGGGTAGTTGCCACTCACCTCGACAGGTGAGTGAGTGAGGTGACGTGATTCGCCCCCACCAGACGGAGGGACAAGTAGCCACTCACCCCGCTCCACCACTCCTCACCCCCCACGCTCACCTCCACCTCGTAGTAGACGGCTGGGACAACAACAACAACAACATCAACAACAACATCATCATCGTCTACAACAACATCATCAACAACATCAACAACAACAACATCATCAACAACATCAACAACAACATCAACAACAACAACATCATCATCTACAACAACATCATCAACAACAACAACATCATCTACAACAACATCATCAACAACATCAACAACAACATCATCAACAACATCAAAAACAACATCAACAACATAATCTACAACAACATCATCAACAACATCAACAAAAACGTCATCAACAACATCAAGAACAACATCAAGAACAACATCAACAACATCAACAACAACATCAACAACATCAACAACAACATCAACAACAACATCGTCTACAACAACATCATCAACAACATCATCAACAACATCAAGAACAACATCAAGAACAACATCAACAACAGCATCAACAACAACAACATCATCAACAACATCAAGAACAACATCATCAACAACAACAACATCAACAACAACATCAACAACAACTACAACAACAACGTTGACCATGAACCACATCAACAACAACACCATCAACAACATCGACAACTGCAACAACAAAAGCATCAGCAACATCATCAGCAACATCATCAGCAACTTCAACAACAACAACAAACTCATCAACAACATCAACAACAACATCAACAACAAGGGGGTTGGGGGAGGGGTGGGGGTAAGGGGGGGGTATTGGGGGGAGGGGAGGGGTTGTGGGGGGTTGGGGTAATTGGGGAGTGGGGGTGGGGGGTGTTGGGGGGGGCGGGGCTAGGGGTGTGTGTTGGGGGGTGGGGGGTGTTGGGGGGGGCAGTGCTAGGGGTGTGTGTTGGGTGGGCGGGGCTAGGGGTGTGTGTTGGGGGGGGCGGGGCTAGGGGTGTTTGTTGGGGGGGCGGGGCTAGGGGGGGAGGGTGTTGGGTGGGCGGGGCTAGGGGTGTGTGTTGGGGGGGCGGGGCTAGGGGTGTTTGTTGGGAGGGCGGGGCTAGGGGGGTGTTGGGTGGGCGGGGCTAGGGGTGTGTGTTGGGGGGGCGGGGCTAGGGGGGGGTGTTGGGTGGGCGGGGCTAGGGGTGTGTGTTGGGGGGGCGGGGCTAGGGGTGTTTGTTGGGGGGGCGGGGCTAGGGAGGGTGTTGGGTGGGCGGGGCTAGGGGTGTGTGTTGGGGGGGCGGGGCTAGGGGGGAGGGTGTTAGGGGGCGGGGCTAGGGGGATGGTGTTGGGTGGGCGGGGCTAGGGGTGTGTGTTGGGGGGGCGGGGCGAGGGGTGTGTGTTGGGGGGGCGGGGCTAGGGGAGTGTGTTGTGTCGGCGGGGCTAGGGGTGTGTGTTGGGTGGGCGGGGCTAGGTGTGTGTGTTGGGTGGGCGTGGCTAGGGGTGTGTGTTGGGGGGGCGGGGCTAGGGAGGTGTGTGTGGGCGTGGCTAGGGGTGTGTGTTGGGGGGGGCGGGGCTAGGGAGGTGTGTGTGGGCGTGGCTAGGGGTGTGTGTTGGGGGGGCGGGGCTAGGGAGGTGTGTGGGCGTGGCTAGGGGTGTGTGTTGGGGGGGCGGGGCTAGGGGTGTGTGTTGGGGGGGCGGGGCTAGGGAGGTGTGTGGGCGTGGCTAGGGGTGTGTGAGTGCTCACCACAGAAGGGTGAGGTGCTGGAGGTCTCTGCGTAGGCGACCACTCCGCTGAAGTTGACGCGCGGGGGCAGCCACCGCTCTGCCCAGTAGCCTGCGGGGGAGGGGGGGTCACGTGGGAGGGGGGGGCACGTGGGAGGGGGGGCACGTGGGAGGGGGGGCACGTGGGAGGGGGTCACGGGGGAGGGGGTCACGGGGGAGGGGGTCACGTGGGAGGGGGGGCACGTGGGAGGGGGTCACGAGGGAGGGGGGGCACGTGGGAGGGAGGGCACGTGGGAGGGGGTCACGTGGGAGGGGGTCACGGGGGAGGGGGTCACGCGGGAGGGGGGTCACGTTGGAGGGGGTCACGTGGGAGGGGGTCACGTGGGTGGGGGTCACGGGGGAGGGGGTCACGGGAGAGGGGGGTCACGGGGGAGGGGGTCACGTGGGAGGGGGTCACGTGGGAGGGGGTCACGTGGGAGGGGGTCACGGGGGAGGGGGTCACGTGGGAGGGGGTCACGCGGGAGGGGGGGTCACGGGGGAGGGGGTCACGTGGGAGGGGGTCACGTGGGTGGGGGTCACAGGGGAGGGGGTCACGGGAGAGGGGGGTCACGGGGGAGGGGGTCACGTGGGTGGGGGTCACGGGGGAGGGGGTCACGGGAGAGGGGGGTCACGTGGGAGAGGGTCACAGGGGAGGGGGTCACGGGGGAGGGGGTCACGTGAGAGGGGGGTCACGGGGGAGGGCATCACGGGGGAGGGGGTCACGGGGGAGGGGGTCACGTGGGAGGGGGTCACGTGGGAGGGTGTCCCGCAGGAGGGGGTCACGGGGAGGGGGTCACGTGGGAGGGGGATCCCGATGGGGTCCCGCACGTGTGCACAGGGGGTTAGACAGCAGTGAATAGAGCATGACGATGATGATTCAGGTATCAATGACAATGATCACGATGTGTGAGAGTGTGTATGTAAGAGTGAGAGTGTGTGTGTGTAAGGGTGTACACACAGGACCCCATTCCAACCTAAAGTGGCCTGGTCTCAGTTATCTGATGAAAGTTGCAAGCGAGAATTTCATCATCGCCTGTGGCTGGGATTGGCATCGTCCCCCACTCCTCCTGATGTCGAGGGTAAATGGGCGAGGTTTAGGACTGTCACTCATGCAGCTGCATTGGCTGCTTTGGGTTCGCGGTCCAAACCTACCCAGAGACCGTGGCTGACAGAGGAGGTGTTCAGGATGGTTGAGAAAAAGCGACAGGCCCACTGTCATCGGCTACAGAATCCCACGTCAGAGAATGAGGAGGCTTACCGTAGCCTTCGCTCGGAGGTTCGGAGAGCCGTGAGGCGCTGCAAGGATGGGTGGTGGTCGCGGGTTGCTGAGGAGATGGAGTCTGCCTCAGTTGCCCGCGATCACAAATCTCTATTTAACTCCATCAAAAATGTAACCTTCAGTGCCACACCTATTACCATCATTAGGGGAAAAAACGGTGATCCAATCTCCGACCCCCAGGAACAGGTTCGCAGATTTGCTGAGCATTTCTGTGAGGTCCTGGGGGAGGGAAAATCCCTCAGCCAGGAAAACATCGTGGCACAAAGTGAGGATGACCCTGCTGAGGCTGCGGTGCCTCAAATATTGGAAGAAGTCACCCCCTGTGAGTGGCTGGCTGAGGTACCATCTGTTGAGGAAGTACTGAAGGCGATCCGGAGTCTAAGACCAGGAAAGGCACCGGGCAGAGATGATCTCCCAAGCGAAATGCTGAGGGAGGGTGGCGTTTGTGCACAGACTGCTCTATATGACATCATAACAACAGTCTGGACCACTGGACGGGTTCCGCAGGATTGGAAGGATGCCCTGGTGGTCCCCCTCTTTAAGAAGGGGGACCGCACAAAATGTAACAACTACAGGAGCATCTCACTCCTCAGTCTGCAAGGAAAGGTCCTGGCAAGGATTATTCAACATCGCCTTGCCAGGCACGCTGAGGAGAGGCTTGCGGAGCCACAATGCGGTTTCAGGAAAGGGCGGTCCTGCACAGATGCCATATTTTCTGTCCGTCTGCTAGAGCAGAGGTGTAGGGAATTCCAGCAAGACCTACATCTCTGCTTTATTGGCCTGGTCAAGGCCTATAATACCATCAGTAGGCCTGGACTCTGGGTTGTTCTTCGTGCTTGTGGAGTACCTGACCCTCTGCTCACGATCATTAAGGACCTTCATGATGGTAAGCGAGCCCGGGTAAAACTACGTGGCCGGGAGTCGGAGCCATTCCCTGTACACCTTGGGGTGCGACAGGGATGTCCTCTGGCTCCCACATTATTTAACATCTATTTTGACCACGTGGTTCGTGAAGCCTTCAATAGCTGTACCGGGGGAATCTCCATATGGTAGAGATATAATGGGAGGCTGATCGATGCCCGGGTGCGGGCAAGGGATGGCTCCCTATTGCTCAACCACGTTATGTATGCCGATGATTTGGTAATAGCTGCTCATTCAGAGGAGGAGTTGGAGACGCTGCTGCTGAGACTGGAGCGTGCCACTAAGAGATGGGGCCTTACCATCAGCCCCACCAAAACTAAGCACCTGCTTGGGTATTTTGTACCATCGGACACTCCACCCCCACAACTCCCAATCGGTGATGGGGCAGTTGTGGAGAGAGTGGAGAGTTTCCGATAACTGGGCAGTGTGCTTATGACCGGCTCCAGTTTAACAGCAGAGGTCTCACTCCGAATTAGTCGAGCGGCAATATCTTTTCATCGGTTGCGTAACGCTGTGTGGAAGCTACTTAGTCTGTCGCTCCGCACTAAGCTTCAGGTCTTCTCGGCCACGGTTATTCCCTCCCTTCTCTACGCTTGCAAAACGTGGACCCCCCTAATGGAACATCTTCGCCAGTTAGAAACATTTAGGCTGGCTTGCCTACGATCCATCCTAGGTTTAACCAGACTGGATTGTGTGAGGAGCTCACAAATCCTTGAAAGATCTGGGCAAGGTCCCATCGGTGAGCTCCTCCGGTGGGCAAGGCTGCGATGGCTGGGTCATGTAGCCCGCATGCCCAGCCACCGCATGCCGAAACAGCTTTTGTTCGGCCGGATTGAGGGGGCTAAGCAGGCACGGCACGGGCTAGAGAAGAGATGGAGTGATGTGGTAGAGGAGGACGTGGAGCTGAGTGGACTTGCCGATGACTGGTACCAGCGGTGTCAAGATCGGCCTCTGTGGAGGAGGCTCGTGAAGGATGCTACTAGGCAGTTGGAGGTAGTCCCCCTCCAACAACAACGGAGGGCGGAGGAGCGACGCTCACAACAACGAGCGGAGCGCCGGGTGGCTAAAGCACAGCAGGTTGGCACAGTAGGGGGCACAGGTGGTGCATCAGCCAGTCATCTCAGTCAGTCGACCCGTGGCACTTGGGTCTGCCCCGTGACCTCCTGCCCGCGGGCGTTCGACACTTCACGTGGCATCAAGGTGCACATGGCCTGGCACAAGCGTCATGGTGACGTCACCGCCACTTACTGGGGAATGGCGGTTGTTGTTGAGAGTGTGTGTGTAAGTGTGATGTGTGTGTGTGTAAGAGTGTGTGTGTGTGATGTGTGTGTGATGTGTGTGTGTGTGTGATGTGTGTGATGTGTGTGTGATGTGTGTGTGCTGTGTGTGGTGTGTGGTGTGTGATGTGTTTCTGTGTGATGTGTGTGTGATATGTGTGTGATGTGTGTGATGTGTGTGTGATGTCTGTGTGATGTGTGTGTGTGATGTGTGTGTGTGTGATGTGTGTGTGTGTGTGATGTGTGTGTGATGTGTGTGTGTGATGTGTGTGTGATGTGTGTGTGATGTGTATGTGGTGTGTGATGGGATGTGTGTGTGTGTGATGTATGTGATGTGTGTGATGTGTGTGCTGTGTGTGTGATGTGTGTGATGTGTGTGTGTGATGTGTGTGACGTGTGTGATGTGTGATGTGTGTGATGTGTGTGTATGTGTGATGTGTGTGATGTGTGTGATGTGTGTGTGATGTGTGATGTGTGTGATGTGTGTGATGTGTGATGTGTGTGTGATGTGTGTGATGTGTGTGATGTGTGTGATGTGTGTGATGTGTGTGTGATGTGTATGTGTGTGATGTATGATGTGATGTGTGTATGATGTGATGTATGACGTGATGTATGATGTGTGATGTGTGATGGGTCTCACCGAGCACGGGGCAGGCCCCGATGGGTCCGACGTCGCAGTCGGAGCAGAGTCCCTGCCGCAGGGCCTCCCGCGACTCGCAGGGGAAGCCGATCGTGCTGCACGGCGCTCGCATCGACGCTAGGAAGAAGAACGATGATCGTTGGTGGTCGCAGATCACGAACTCCTTGCCTGGCGCACAGACACAAAGGTGCCCCCGGCCCACATGTGTAGCCTCGGCAGACTGTTGGGGGCAAGTGGCGTTGGCGAGTTTTCAGTTTTCACTCGCGATGTGTGGAGCCCTGTGGGCCGCGCGGCTCTTGACTCCGGTGCAACCGCAACAAACAAAAACACGACCCAAGGGACATCTTAAAGTGACCCCAGACGCAACAGAGAAATCCAGCAAAGCCTTCCAGCGGTGTCCCCGATGCACAGAGCAACACGCGGTCATTCGCATGTAGAATACTAGTACAGCACTAGTGTATAGTGTAGTGTATAGTGTAGTGTATAGTGTAGTGTATAGTGTAGAATACTAGTACAGCACTAGTGTATAGTGTAGTATACTAGTACAGCACTAGTGTATAGTGTAGTGTATAGTGTAGTGTATAGTGTAGTATACTAGTACAGCACTAGTGTATAGTGTAGTGTATAGTGTAGTGTATAGTGTAGTATACTAGTACACCACTAGTGTGTAGTGTAGTGTATAGTGTAGTGTATAGTGTAGTATACTAGTACAGCACTAGTGTAGTGTATAGTGTAGTGTATATTGTAGTATACAAATACAGGACTAGTGTGTAGTGTAGTGTATAGTGTAGTGTATAGTGTAGTATACTAGTACAGCACTAGTGTAGTGTATAGTGTAGTGTATAGTGTAGTATGCTAGTACAGCACTAGTGTATAGTGTAGTGTATAGTGTAGTATACTAGTACAGCACTAGTGTATAGTGTAGTGTATAGTGTAGTATACTAGTACAGCACTAGTGTATAGTGTAGTGTATAGTGTAGTGTATAGTGTAGTATACTAGTACAGCACTAGTGTATAGTGTAGTGTATGGCATAGTGTATAGTGTAGTGTATAGTGTAGTGTATAGTGTAGTGTATAGTAGTGTAGTGTATAGTGTATAGTGTAGTGTATAGTGTAGTGTATAGTGTAGTGTGTAGTAGTGTAGTGTATAGTGTAGTGTATAGTGTCGTGTATAGTGTAGTGTATAGTGTAGTGTATAGTGTAGTGCATAGTATAGTGTATTGTGTAGTGTATAGAGTAGTGTATAGTGTAGTGTATAGTGTAGTGTATAGTAGTGTAGTGTATAGTGTAGTGTATAGTGTAGTGTATAGTGTAGTGTATAGTGTAGTGTATAGTAGTGTAGTGTATAGTGTAGTGTATAGTGTCGTGTATAGTGTAGTGTATAGTGTAGTGTATAGTGTAGTGTATAGTGTAGTGAATAGTAGTGTAGTGTATAGTGTAGTGTATAGTGTAGTGTATAGTAGTGTAGTGTATAGTGTAGTGTATAGTGTAGTGCATAGTGTCGTGCACAACAGCTCGGAGCCGCCCAGTTGCCCGTGCCGGTGAGTGGACCCCTCACCCTGGAGGATGGTTTTGGGGCAGCCTGGCTGGTCTTCACCGCCGTTGACGTGGAAGTCCACGTGGCCGACCGACGCTTTGATACCGAACACTGCCCGGAGAGAGAGAGATAGAGAGAGGGGTGGGCGGGGTCTAACACAAAGGTCAAGGCAAAGGTGACCTCCACCCAGGTAGCCTGGGACCGGTGCGCCGAGCAGTTCTACGATGGATCGGACCGGAAGCGGAGGGCGATTGTTCTTGTGGAGCGCAGGACGGGATCCGTCAGGCGGAGCGCTGGGCGCGAGAGGCATTCCGCTCGCCGTGTGTCTCCACGTGTGTCTCCACGTGTGTCTCTCCACGTGTGTCTCCACGTGTGTCTCCACGTGTGTCTCCACGTGTCCCCCTGTCCCCGTGTGTCTCCACGTGTGTCTCCACGTGTGTCTCCCCCGTGTGTCTCCGCGTGTGTCTCCACGTGTGTCTCCACGTGTCCCCCTGTCCTCGTGTGTCTCCACGTGTGTCTCCACGTGTGTCTCCACGTGTGTCTCCCCCGTGTGTCTCCACGTGTGTCTCCACGTGTCTCCACGTGTCTCCACGTGTCCCCCTGTCTCCACGTGTCCCCCTGTCTCCACGTGTCCCACTGTCCCCACTGTCCCCGTGTCTCCCTGTCCCCGTGTCCACCTGTGTCTCCCCGTGTCCCCGTGTCTCTCTGTCCCCACTGTCGTTGTCGCTGTGGTAGACGTCCACGAATCCCGTGTCCCCGTGCCCCCGTGTGTCTCCACGTGTCCCCCTGTCCCCGTGTGTCTCCCCGTGTGTCTCCACGTGTGTCTCCACGTGTCCCCCTGTCTCCACGTGTCCCCCTGTCCTCGTGTGTCTCCCCCTGTCCCCGTGTGTCTCCCCGTGTCCCCGTGTCTCTCTGTCCCCACTGTCGGTGTCGCTGTGGTAGACGTCCACGAATCCGGCGTCCCCGTGTCCCCATGTCCCCGTGTCCCCGTGTGTCTCCACGTGTGTCTCCACGTGTCTCCACGTGGCCCCCTGTCCCCGTGTCCCTGTCCCCGTGTCTCCGTGTGTCTCCCCCTGTCCACGTGTGTCTCCGCGTGTCCCCCTGTCCCCGTGTGTCTCCCCGTGTGTCTCCCCCTGTCCCCGTGTGTCTCCCCGTGTGTCTCCCCCTGTCCCCGTGTGTCTCCCCGTGTGTCTCCCCCTGTCCCCGTGTGTCTCCACGTGTCCACGTGTCCCCACTGTCGGTGTCGCTGTGGTAGACGTCCACGAATCCGGCGTCCGTGTGGTCCAGGCGATCGTCGGCGTTCCGATCCTCAAACTCGGGGCCTGCGGCATCCAGCGCTGCGGCAGACACGGGGGGAGACAAAGGCGGACGGGGGGGGAGACAAAGGTCGGACAGCGACCAGCGGACACAAAAAAACAAAGATCCCCCGTGTAGCCTCAACAGACTGCAGGGGCAAGTGCTGTTAGCGAGTAGCAGCACCTGTGACACACAGACAAAGACAAAGATCCCCCGTGTAGCCTCGACAGACTGTAGGGGCAAGTGCTCTTAGCGAGTAGCTGCACCTGTGACACAGACAAAGACAAAGATCCCCCGTGTAGCCTCGACAGACTGTAGGGGCAAGTGCTCTTAGCGAGTAGCAGCAGCACCTGTGACACACAAACAAAGACAAAGATACCCCGTGTAGCCTCA